GTCAATATTTTCTAAGATCCAACTATTGGGTTTATTGATGTTAATGAATATTCATTTTTTTAAAATGGGTAAAAACCGTTAAAAATAAAAAAGGAACAAAAAAAAAAAAAAAAAAAACACACATTAAGCTCCCTAACAGGGACAATTTCCTCCAGCAGGACAGCTGCCTTTTTAGGATTTTGATTAATCAGGCAAACAATATCATGACAAATCGCTTAGTGCAAAAAAAAAAAAAGGGGGGGGGGAGGACATAAAACAAGTATTTTGCATGCTATACGTTGGGAAAAAAATATAACACGAAATTTGTGCATTTTTAGGGAGTCAGAAGACTTCATAATTCACTTTCAGCCTGTCTGATAGCAACCAACTATTACTGACCTTATATTGATCTATAACAGACACACGAGGCATTAGTAAATGACTTAGTTGCCTTTAATAAAACCATTTGTTTCATCTGATAAACCTTGCAGAAGGGATTGGTCACCAGAAAGAGCTGAGAAAAAGTTAACTAAATAAAACCAGCGTTTCCTTTAGGATGGTAAAAGAAACAGTGAACCATGGCTCTTTGTAAGCACTGTTAAATGGACTGAAAATGACAAAGTTATGTTTTTAATGAGATGTGAGTAGTGGCCTATATATTCCTAATACAGGATTGACTAAACAGGAGCTTTATTTAAATGTACGATATTATTCTAATTTATTAAAGTTATTGCATCTGGAAATGTACGATGGTAAATATTACAACATTTGTCAATTTTTCTTGTAAAAACATCATTTCATGAAACAATGGACACCCGATTGAAAACACTCAAAGCCATAAACTGTTATGCAAATTGCATGCAGATGATGCAGATTTGCATATATTAAAGAAAAAGGAGAAACAAAAAAAAATCTTCACAGAACTAAAAGATGAGTCTAGAGATGAGAAACTATTAATTGGTGATGATTTGTGGTGTTAAACTTGACTTGAGAGCTGTCACTTCCAGAATAAATTTTCGTCTTATCAGCAGGCATATGAAGCCTCGAGAAGGCAGCAGTGTCTGTTGGAGCACAATGCAAAACCAAAACGGTGTTGACTGAATCTTAACGCCTGCAAATCATTAATTCAAACAGCACGCTTTAAAAATCTGACGGCGGCCACTTTCAACCTAAAAATTAATCATTTGGGAAAATAAAAGCCTCCTCGGGCCTCCAGCATCCGTGTGAAAATCCTTCTCCCTCTTCAAAGGCCACATGAAAAAAAAATCCCCTCGTTTCTCTCCAGTGCCGACATGAATTTCTGACTCATTAGCATTTATGCAAATGACTTTCTAATTGCAGGCGTAATGACTCTGGCGTGGGAGATTTTTCAATCCGCCATGTTTTTTTGTTGCTGCATGCTTTGCAGGATGCCCCTTTTTTTGTCTTCATTTCTAAAAACAAAAACGATCCATTCTCTTGTTTCCAGACGCTCATCTGACGGGGATCCTGCTGGAGCTTTATGTAACATTTAGAAAGAGTGGGACACTTTTTTTTAAAAAACAGGCCGCGTTTATCTGAGGCACCGACAAAACCCAGTTTCTTTTCCTGCTCAGCGCGGCAGTGAAGCTCTGCTACCCGGGTGATTTTTTAATAAAGAAAAAAAAGGTGCAAAGGATGCCAAAGGAGGCTCTAACTTCGAGGTGAGTGGGGTGATCTGCAGCCGCAACTCAGTGACGTCCGTCCAAGCCTGTAGCTCCTCTCACGCAATGCATGCAAGCAAAGTGGAAATGCAAAATGGCAGCACGTGAATAATTATTTTGAGGATTGTAGATTTTATTTTTAATCAAAGAATCAAAGACAATTAAAAAGCTGACTAAAGTTTAATTGCGAAAAGAAAAGCCAGCGTTTGCTATCATGGGAAAAATTAAAGGTTTGACCTTTGACAGAAATTTTAATGACCCAGATCTGCGGAATTTAATGTCCTGCAGTAGAGATGTTAGTATTTATGTAATGCAATACGTTGCCTTTTGTCTCTGTTCACTACAAGACACCTTTAGTTTTTCATTTTCCACTACTCCTCCCAGTTAAATGAACTATTTAGAAAGAAGCTGGTGTATATATGTGTGTGAGTGCAAGTGATGGTGTTGGTTTGGGTGTGTTTGGGGGGGGGATGGGGGTGGGGTCCTGTCTGGTTTGGCACAAGAAGGCTGTTTGGCCCCCACAGAGCTGCAACAATATGGGCAGATTTTGAGGGACAAAAGATCCAAAGCTTTGAGTTGCAGAGCACGTCTCTGACACTGGGACACTGATGTACTGGGAATACTGGGATGTTACACTGGGAGATGGTCAATCAGAGCACTGGGATGACAACATGAGCTTCTGCAGTGCCTGTGCAGCTGCCCAACAGGTAGCAAGATTTGGAAAATGATTTTTTTTTCATTATGATTTGGACACAATCATGTAGATAGCTGAAGCCCAAAATACAGGAGATCCCTTCTAACTCTGTGTTGGACAACATATTCTAAGATAAAACTCATAAACGACAGAGTCTGAGGGTGTGAGTCTGTAGTGTGTAATGTTTCTTTGTTTGGATTGTCGTGGAAAGCCTCTGCGATCTCTAGTCATTTCACTATAATCAAACATTCACGCTTCTCGTCCAGCTTTTCATTGTTCTAAAGAGTCATTTGTTCCATGTCAAACCGTGAATAAAAAGATATGATAAATGAAACAAATGTAACACAGACAAAATGACATGCGGCCGTATGAATGCATCCGAACCCGATTTCAGATGAACTGGTTTATGTTTGCCTGCATCTCCTGCAAAGTCTTGGAGAAAAATATGCTGTCGCATGATTTAATCAAGATTTTTATTCACAATATTTAATATCTACCTGGTGCTGAAATACATGGAAAGAACAGGGGCAATTAAGAGCTCAACATGATCACTGGTTCTGAACAGACTGGACAAATGGATTAAAGTGTTAAAATCCTAAACTATACTAACATGGAGGAAGTGTAAAGTCTTTTCACGTTTCATGTGAAAGATGAGAGTGGGGGTCTGGATAGAGTGCTACCTTTAAAAAATGCTGTGTTCTTAAAATTAATCTGTATTTGTGTTTAGTGTAATGTTGAGCGTTTTACACTGAAGGCAGCGAATCCTGCACATTGTGTATTATCCTTGATGATAAATTACCCAAACAATGCACTTCTGAAAAAGACAAAATGCTTCATTTGTGGCGTGTATGTCATTTCTAAGATGTTTATCTATACAATATGATCTTTAAATACATGAAGCCTTTACACAAAGAGCATAAAAAGACAAAAGAGCCAGCAAAAACAGTTTCTTTTCAAATTCTGGATCATTTCCCAAATACTACTTTGTATCCCTGCGCTGTTCCCTGAGTCCAATTTTTTTCTTTCTTTCTCTCTTTGTTTTTTGGCCCTTGGTTTTCATTCATGATAGTCTTTTACATGCTGGTCAGCAGCTAAACTGGCTCACGGAGGCTTTTTAGCTCAGTGAAGAATGTGTGTGGGCTGTAAACACATCCTGCTGCTGGTTTAAACACACAATGTCGGATCCAAATGTAAACAAAGAAAAAGACAAACGCAAGACAGGACGATGCTCTCAGATGGCAGTTATTAGTAATATTGTCTAATCTTGTTAATGCTTTTAAACATAAAAACAAGCACAAAATCTGTTTCTTTTTTCTGAAGTTGAATATACCTGCTACTAGTGGAGCCTTTAGGAGACCTCATAAAGGATGGACAAAAAAACAAAACACTTGTCAGTCAAATGCAGAGCAATAGGCTACACCTGACAGGTGGGAATGCAACATAGTGATCTTTTTAGATTATAGTACAGAAAATAAATTAATTAGAACACACACACACACGCACACGCCTTTTATTAGAAACCAAGAAGCATGTAAAAAGATGTTTGTGCACACGCTGGTTTTGTTGGTTATGACTATAAGAGACAAATTAATTTTTTTCAGAGTTCATTATATTTTGCAGTTTTCTGTTAAGATTGCTGGCAGGATTTTACACATCCTTCCAAATGGTGTCATATTTGCGTTGGGGGTAGGAAGCATTGAGCAGAACACTGACGGTTCCTACATGTTTTAATTACGGCTTCTTTTCCTGTCATTTGACGTTGTGGTGTATTTCGGGTGCAGAGTTGCCAGTCACACTCATGTTGCTTCTGTAAGAGACGCAGATCTATTAAATGAATCGCATAAAGAGTTGAGCTGATCCGGTAAATGGTTCTGGTACCAGGTGAAAACCAAACCCTACCTCAGTAAAACACTGAATGGGTATACTGTTTTTAACCTAAATGACCAGCTGCACAAGAAAATGCTGACTGGCATTAACAAGCACAAATTCATGCAACAGCTTTGTGTGTTGTGGCAGTCTTACTGGTAGTAGGGAATACAGAACTTTAACTTGTAGAGGCACATCTTAACATTATGGCATTTCTAATTTCTTAATAAAGCAGAGGATGTGATTCCTTTGGTGGTTATGGCATTATTGTGACTATATTCCAATAAGGAACATATTACATTAAATATTTTAGTTACATTTTAGTTGCCTTATGGCTGCAGCTGTAGTCATAAAAAGTTATAAATCCGGTCAAAAAAACTACTCTGCTGTTAGTCTATTGTGACCAAACTTGCAGTTCAAAATTGTGATTATTTTTCAGTCTTGCATATTAATTAATCTGCAATCCAAGACTGGTTAACCAGCAGAGAAATTCATAAAGTCTTTGCAGAGTAAACTGGTTGGGGGGGAGGAGATTGTGGTGGTGGTGGGAGGCTGGGTTAACTGCTATGCCTTGCAGGAATGGCCTGATGGGTGCTAATGAACTTGGGATGTGCCACCACAATGCTGAGCGGCCCCTGGTGCACCTCGGTGTCCGGGTTCCCATGCAGCCGATGGAATAAGAGGGTTGATGGAGGGGAGGAGGAGAAGTGATGGGGGTTAGGAGGAGGGCGGGCGGCTGGATTGTGCACCCAACCTATTGTGCCCGGTCCTTAGCCCATTAGCCACCACCAACCACTCTCGCTTTCGAGAGCTCGAGACTAGCCTGCCTGCCTGCCCGAACTCGGTAACCAGGCATCGGCGAGGGCGAGAGGAGGGGAGGAGAGAAACAGTAGCCGTATTTAGAGTTTGATCTCCAGGAAAGCGTCCAAAATTTGGAGAGAAAGAAAAGGGGAGCCCGGGACATTGGTAGGCAGGGAGAACCCCCTGACAACAAACCCGGGCCTGACAAAGTTGTCTCTTTGGCAGTCGCGCCTCCTATTGAACCAGTAATTTATTCAAAGGAGATTTTTATCCCCGCGATCTAATTATTATGATAATCAAGTGACCCAGACCCCCTTTCTTGGCTCTTGTCTGCGGGCTCTGGGCTCGGCGGTGACAGTAAAAGCTGATTTGCACGGTCTTCACCCCCTGGTCACATTCCTGGACTCCTCTGTATCAAAGACGTAGACAATGAGAATAGTGGATGTGCGCACTTGATCCAGGCATGAGCGGAGGCCGCAGTCTCCGCCGGGGGCTTTGTGTCAAATGAATACTAGTAGCCAGACAAGATTACACGAAACTTTTTATAATCCCCACATGGTCCAAAACGACGCTCACAACGACACCCTTGATATGTGAAACTCCCAAATAGACCTGAAATAGAGACAGCAGAGACGATGCTGAATATTTGATTGAGCTGATGATACCAGTTTATAATCAATTAGAGAACTGATTATTAATATGATGACCAAATGTCATGCAATATAAGGAGTGTTGCCAAGATTTTGGTATCTGTAGTCTCAAATATGACGTCGAATAAAGCCATTCTACACTAACTCAGATTATTAGTTTCGAGGATTCTTTTTTATCATTGAGGACAGAACTTGAGCTTGAATCCTTATTCAAGACCACTTATGCTTTCATTTTTTTAGAGGGTGGAGACAAAAAAGCAGACCTGCATCGTGTCATAAAGGGGAGGGCCTTGGTGGTGGTAGCCTATATGTTTTTAGAGCAGGCATGTTTTGAGTTCATATTGCATCTGACGAAAGGAATGGCGAGTACCGGGGACAGCGCGGGGAGGAAGGGGGGAGGCGAGATCCACCTCCGAGAGAAATAATGGGGATGATAATAAAACAGGGGGAAAACCCGTCCGAGAGAAGCTGAATGGATGGAGCAAGGCAGACGTCACGGCCAGCCGCAGCCATGAAGACCGTGCGGTCCAGCCTCCGGCAACTCAGTTGGTCTCCATCTCCCGAGCCGCACGCTTCTCGATTTTGGAGAGCGGAAGCCGCAGAGACTCCCAGGCGACGGCGTGAGTATCAATATAATCTGTGTTTTCTCCAAAGGGGGGAAGGCGAAAGCGGTTGGGGATTAGCGGCGAAAATCACGGAGGAAAGACCGTTCGCATCCGCGCCGTGCACGCCGCCGATCTGCACGCATAACGGAGCAGGATGCACACAGGCTGGATGTGTCAGCAGCAGGCGAATATGGGCGCTGTGTGTTTGAGCAGCAGGTCCTGGGCTCTGAATTTACCGTTATTTTTGTTTCTGTTTTGATGCTCTGATGAGGGTAAAGTAGGAGGTGATGTTTCACTCACAATGGCAGCTGTTGAGAGGAAAACCAAGTGGCAACTCAGTGTTCATGACATTTTGTCTCTTAATTCAGTGTGCTTAAAAAAATACAAATCGATATTGAAAGCTTCAGAAAGAAAAATTATGGGTTGATTCACTTAGTAGAATATGGAGTAGTGCACAGGTGGAAAGTAACAGCTAAAACATGTGGAAACAAACCTGCACTGTGGAATACGTGTGTGAAAGAGCAACTTCTAATTTGAAGTGGTTTGTCTCTGTTTTAAAGAAAAAGTACTCTTTTTTCAGACCCAGCCTTTATGACGCATTGTGTGCATGCTTCATACAAAGCGATTCACAGAGAGCCACACAGGCCAAAAGGCGCTTCCAGCCTTGATTTCATTTCTCATACACACCTCCAGGCACTTAGCAGGGTCACTTCTCAAGCTCTGTTTGCTGCAGAAGCGGGAGCTGCAGAGACAGGCAACATATGGCACGAAAACCCAACAAAATTTGACACGATCAGGATGTGGGGAAAAAATTAAATCCTTTTGTGTCTTTTCCCCCCAAATTAAGCCCTTGCAGGACTCTTTGCTACCATGTGGCTCAGATATGAGGATTACTAGCACACAGACCTGCAATGCATGCGTAATAAGACAAAGTGATCGTGTTCACACCCATGGTTGGCGGATAAAGGGATCACAAGGCCAAATATCCAGTCCACACGTGTGCGCCGAGAGGCCTGTACAGAGAACACGTGTGCGCCCCCGGATACATTAGGGGAGAAAAACTGAGGCCGTTGAGCTTTCAGGGGGTTTGAAGCAAAAAGAAAAAAAGGGGAGATTATGAAATATTTCACATGATGAACATGAGGGTATTAATTTGTATGCAGGCTTAGGGAGGAGGGGAGAATTTAGAAAACAACGATTTTGTGCAACCTTTGCACAAAATTCAGATTCATTTTCCAGTTTAAGCCAAAATATATCGGCCACGCAACTTTAGAGTATTTATCTAGCAACACACACACACACACACACACACACACACACACACACACACACACACACACACACACACACAATGGGCAACTGTGGGGTGGAACAAATAAAGAGAGGATTTCTGTGCAGGGCTTTAAATGAAGTTCATATGCACCGTGTATTTTAGAGATATTTGCGACACCACTGTAAAAATGGCAGGTTGTACATTATTGTAAAAATACAGATAACAAAGTATTAAAAGTACTACTGCTGAAGTATCACTCAGTGCACCTTACTTCACCTACTATCGGAGTTTTTGTTTTAAAAAAATATTTTGTCCTTGTCGTGACAAAATAGAATTTTCTGACGATCTTTGCTGGTTAAACGAAGTCTACAATAACCAAAATTGGGCAGTTAGGCTTTGTAGTCATTTTGAAGAGTAAAATCATCGTCTCTTTTTTCCAGGAACCGCTGGAGAGACATTCAGCGGCCTCACAACACGTGATTTACTGTAGGTAATATGGATAACCAGCTCTCACTGTCACTCATATCACCCTCAGGCTTCCGTGGTTATTTTTTCAAAGTTTGGTGGAATAATATGTTTTATTTTGACGCAGTTGCTTTTAAAAAAATACAAGTGTATTTATCTATAATAATAATAATAATAATAATAATAATAATAATAATAAATATATGAAGTGCAGACTCAAGTTTAAAATCTAACAAAGAATAAGATGAAGACACTCGAAGCTGCATGTCAAAATCTGGGCTCTTATTTTAAACGTCACAGGATTTTGTCATAGGTTGTGGAAATTACTATTAATTGCGTAATTTCTGCAAAGCCTCATTTTAAGGCGAGTTGCCCTATCACTGCAAAAACAGTGCGTATGCTCATCAGACACAGTGGGCCTGCCTCACCACAGTGTGACTTACACTCTGTTTATTTCTGTATTCATCCTTTAAAGTGGCTTAAAATGTGGGTAAAATACTTTTGCCCTCCTGCACAATTGTCTTTGTTGCCTCCAAAATGCAGTCGCTCAGTCGCGATTAAATGAAACGTTTTAATAGGACTTATCGCGCGGGTTTAATCAGATGAGAACCAATGACACTTTGCAATATGAATCCATTTCTTGCTAATCTGCTCTGCACCTTTGCATATTTTTTTCCCCAATTAGAGGCACAGGATTTGTTGACGTCATGCTCATCTTTGGCCAATAGCAGGGCCTGATGAGGTTTGTTTAAATAATGGAGATCAAGAAGCTGGAGCTCCATTTATGCCCTAAACATGCTTTGAAATTTTGGAGAAAAGGGTCCAAATGAAGACTTAAAACCAGGGGTTTTGGCTCATTTAAACTTTTAAAGAACATATATATATATTTTAATGTTCACAAACTTCATTTTGTGAACACATGGTGTTAATAATAACACCATGAAAGCTAAACACTGTGGGGACAATAAGGCAGCAGACAAAATGATGCAATTGTATGAGATTAACAGAATTATATGGAATGCAGCACTTAGGGGACTACGACTGAAAAAGCAAAAATAACTGAAATAATCCAATGCAGTCTGAACATTTTAAAAATCGTGATTTTTTTTCCTTTTTCAGCTTGAAAATCATGAAAAAAAATATTTATTTAAATGTTAATATTGCACCATCTGCATCCAGAATAATTACCATGAATAACTAATGAGTTAAAAAAAAACTTACTAAACACTAAAATTGAAAACAACAATACTTATTTTATTTTAAATTGATGCTGCAAAACATTTCTAGTTTTCTAGATAGAAATAAAAAAAGCATTAGGTTATTGTTGTAGCCTTAATTAATGTAAAATATGATTGCATTAAAAGAATAGCCTACTGAAGTCTAATAGTTTTGTAAAAGACTACTTAATAATAAGTGGAAGTTATATCTTAACATTTAGTTTTTAAATATTCTGATTCACTTAATGTAGACTATAGCTAAAATACATCAAATGAGCTATTAATAGTATTGCATTTTTTGTGTATGTGTGTGAGAGAGAGATCGCATGTATCTGTGTGTATTTATTTCTAAGTCACAGTGTGTAGTTTGATGTTTTCTGCAGTTATCTACTGAACATCTGAAAGCACACACACACACACACACACACACACATACCTAAATGTTCTCCACTGAAACAGCAATCTAAGAGCTAAGGCATGTTTCTGCTTTTAAAGGTCTTTGCTTTGTCCTTGTGGATTGAAACAAAGGACATTGATGAAGAACAGTGTAATGCTGACAGCCGTCTAAATGGAAACAAAATACTTTGAAATCAAAATATTTTCAGGCATTCGAAGAAGAAAAAGAAGACCTGTAAATTGTAATCAAGAGGGAGAACAATGGCCGGGTGATTTGTTATTTGGTAACGGAGATGTAGCCATCTCTGGTAATGCCAGTCAGGCTGTGTGTTCGCAGGTTTGGGTGTGCGATGAAGACTGAGGATATTGAGTTAGTCTCTCATTCTCTCTCAATATCTCTCCATCTTCCTTCAGTCAGTAAAGCTTTACTTGGTGGTGGCGTTTGTGGGGGAGGAGCCTGCCACAACAGGGATCTGGGCACACAGAGCAGCCTTAATTAGATGGGGCCTCGTGCCATGTGCCACCACAGCATGTGTGAAAGGGAGTGTGTGTGTCTGTGAGTGTTATAGCATAGTCCGTAGCCATGTAGGATAAGATTTGTTTTGTGTGTGTTTAGTTTTGTTTTTGCATGGTCTCTGGACACATTTGGATACTAAAGGGTATGTTTAGCACTTGTTCTTTCATGATATGTAGGAGAATTTCTCTCTCTCTCTCTCTCTCTCTCTCTCTCTCTCTCTATATATATCTCTCTATATCTCTATATCTATATATATATATATATATATATATCTATATCTATATATATATACATATAATAACCCCCCCGATCTATGCTTTGGCGCCAACCACCATCATTGGCTGACTGCTTTGGCATCAGATAATTTAAATGAAGACAAACCAGTTCCTTTTGTAGTCAAACAGCCGGGATCTTCTTTTAATTTAAAAATGCATTTGGGTCATGGCAGGGGGCGGTGTTTGAAGCCATCACCCTCCTATGGAGCTAGTCAGCGGGTGAGGCGGGTGCGCTGTAGGGATGGGTGCTGGGCTGGAGAAAGGAAGGTTGTAGCCTTAGTTGGTTTGGACTTGCTCAGCAACCTTTTTTTAAATTGGTGCCTCTTGCTGATTGTTTGACTTGTTGGGTTTTTAATATACAGGCGTTACTCACAGGCCAATCAAAGCTTTTGGCGGACAAAGGGAAGTTTCCAATTGGTCGAGGTTGTTTGAGGCGGAGAGAGGGAGCCACATGATGACATCATAAAATAAAGGGTCAGGACATTTAAGGGCTGCTGTAGGATGAGCGAAGAAAAAAGGCCATAAGCCACAAAAGAAATGCTATGAACTGCTCTTTGATTTTTCTCTCCCTAAAATCAGACTTTTGACATGATTTTTAGCTCCGTCTCAAGTTAGTTTGTAATTCTTAAAATCATTTTATAAAAAGCAGTGGAGACATATAATGATATAATAGGTTTTAATTAACAACCCTCTCCTCTGCTTATAGGTCAGAACTTGGCCCATGTTACTTCGCCTGCAGATTGAGAGGATGGGTAGCCTTAGGGGTTGGTTGTTATCTTTGGTTATCTAGCTGTATGAGTGATGTACATTCTTCATAAAGCTAGATAACCGAAAGTAACAAGAATCCCATTACACTCCTGAAAAGGCATCAAGACCCCAAATGCGCCTCCCTACAAGAAAATGCAAACTTTGCCAGAAGAATTGTAACATGAGAGAAGAAAATGGACTACATTTTAAAGAAGACGGGAATGCGATGCAACAAAAGGTAGGCTGCATGTTTTTCTTGTGTCTTATCTGTTGGTGATGGAATGTGTGTGAATACATGTGTGTGCCTTTTGTTAAACTCAAGTCTGAGGCCCCTTTTTTGATCCATCCGCAGCTCGTAATGCTGGGTACCGTTGTTAGTCATGTACAAATAAATGGGACATTGCCACACATATTTCCTTTAGCTCTCTGTAGCCAGTGGCAGTGATCCATAACAGTAAGGTTGGTACAACAGGATCACTTTTAATCTAATAAGCCCCATGATCCTTCTGTGTGGGGCTGCATGCATGGGTTTAGACTTAGTATCACATGGTTAGGAGTGACAAGCTTGCTAAAAAAAAAAACCCCACACCGATTCACCAAAGCAACTGGTCTCTGATTAGCCAACACCAAGTGATTATAGGACTTGCCAGTTTACTGGCTAGTTTGGACAACGCTCTATTTATTTGTCTCCATGTAATTCAGTCTTACTGCTTGCATTTTTGGCATTAAGAGACCATGCAATATGAAAAGAATGTGGGCCTTTGAGCTGCATACGGTGCTATGAATTATACATATGTTCCAACTTGGATTGGATTGTGTGAGTTAAGAATGGTCCCTCCGAGTTAATCTGGTCTCCCAACGCCCCACTGGCAGCTAAGCGCACAGACAAGAATTTGTTTGAGGCCAGTTTTGTTAAGTTAGCTGTTGTTGATTTTTTTTCTTCTTCATTCCACCTACTCCCTTTTTCCTTTTGCATGAAAAGATGTTTAATTTGGGGTCCTGGCCGTTGTTTGATTTGACGTGACAGTTGGCTTGGTTGTGAATGGGCCGTGGCAAAGCCTCCATTGCATGAGGTGCTACCATGTGGAAAGGCCCGATGGGATCTCACTGAATGCTGCTGTGTGTACGTGTTGGGTTCAGAGGGGGAGTGGTCCAGGGGCAATCAAGCAGAAAGTACCCCTAGTGACAAGATCCACGAGTGAGCGAAGGAGAACAATCTCAGCCTTTAGGTTCTTTGCCTGGACTCATGGTGAGGAGTAATTGGTCAATCAGATCTTCAACCTCAAGGCCTCTGATGGCTGATTGAAGGTGTGATTTCTGTTCTGCCCATCAAAGCTGGAGGGTTACTCCTGCTGAGAAAGGCCACTAAGAATTGTATCCTAGGTCTCAAAGCTCTGGTGGTACATAGCGAATTCCACGTGTGGCGTGCTATCTCATTGTGGTGCAGCTAAAACATCACCCTCGGGTTTGGATATATTTAGCTTGACAGGGTACAAATTCTAAACAGTTGTGCAGGACTGAAGTGAAATTACTAAAAGCTTGTGAGGCAACCTTACCTCGCAATGTCAATCTCTTCGAGCCCTGCGGTTGTGCCTGCCTGCTGCATTGCAGGTGCTGAGTGTGACACTTGAGCTTTGGGCTCTGCTAGTAAGAGAGAGGAACGAGGGCCCTGACAGGAAGTGACAGCCAGAGATGTCACCTTCTTGGATGGCAAAGTAGTACCTGGTTCTCTCTCTGTTGTGTTGCTACATCCCTACATGTCCTTTTCCCCTTTATTTCTTTAGTTTTACAGCGTTGTATGTAGGGCTTTTTATCACATAATGCAACTGATAGATTAATGATTGTGCGTGCCCAATATCCAGACTCCTGTATATCTACACAGGTGTGGTTTGTATTTATGAAATTAGCATATAACAGGTGTAAGGCAGAAATATTTTGTGCATTGTGGAGAATAGTTTTCTCCCTTTGCATCTTTTTTGTGTCAGTTACACTGTTGGGTCTAAATGGGAACTGAAGTCTTGGACAGATTGTGTTTATACCCTAAGCAGTGCCCTGGGAGACGCATGTCATGGTACAAATGCTTTGTTCTGGCTCGGTGTGTGGCACAGTTATATCACTAACACTTCACACTAGGGAACTTAGTGCAGAAACTGTATTAGCTTATGCTTGCCTGAAAACAGCATAAAGATAGGAGAGTTCCTCAAAAACACCTTAGGGCCTTTGCTCTCTCTTTTTCTCTGTCCCATGGCAGTGTTGGAAATAGAAAGAGGGCGCGAGGAGAAAGCATGTAAAGGAAAGCAGCCAGGGAGAGGAAAGAGAAGGAGGAGGGTGGTGGGTTTGTCTTAGCTTTCATGCACTGGGCAAGCAGATTTAGACTCCAAGTGTCAAATAGAAAAACAGCCATTGTGGTCGGGTCCTACTTGCCCCCCCATAAGTAGACTTTACAGTCAATAGAGCTAGTCCACTTGTCACTGAGGGACAATGCACCCCTTTGCCTCCCTTTCAGGCCTGCCGGGTCCGAGCAGCCAGACAGCTTTCTGAATAACCCAGTGATTCTTGGCCCCTTTTCTCTGCCTCTCTTTCTCTTGACGGAACACACCAACAGGGCTTGGAAAATGGCTTCACTGTTGGGCCAGAGTGTAAGGACAGACCCTGTTATTTTCTACAACACTGGCATTCCCTCCACCCCCTTATGCACGCATAGAAATGAATGTATCTTGGGCAGTTGCAAAAGTCAATGGGCCTCCACAGACAAAGGAGATTAAGTTTGGCAACTTAGCAGTAACAGGTGTACTTTGACTGAGCTCGGACCACACGGGGGGTGACTGTCGTTGTCTTACCCACTTGCTCTGTTTGTCTCCTTGTTGGTTTTTAGTTGCATGGATGTAAAAATTACGTTTGTGTTGCGTTGTCAGAAGACAAGAGCGCCTCAGACCTTGTTGACTTAGAAGTTTTAGTTGAGCTGTCCAGCACAGGCCTCTTATCATTTTCACTGCATTTGAAAACAAAGCTTAGTTTTGCTACATTTCTCCCATGCCAAGTTTTCTCCGAAGGGATTCTGCAGATATCTTTAGAACTCAAGCAGTGCTCACCCAAGGGAGCGAGTTAAGGGTAAACAATGCGGGCACACGGAGAAGAAAGAAGTATCAGAGGGAGTGCGGCACTGCACAGAAGCATGAATACATTTTCACATTTAGAACTGAGACATTGATGTTTTAGGAGGGGAACTATCATTTAAAGAGAATGAAGCCTTTTCTGTACATACCTTCAGTATTTTCAACCATAATAAATCAAGCCATTCAGCATCAGTACAAATAGAGACACTCTCAGAGCCAGAGCAAAACAGTGCATGCATTTGTTTGTTTCAGTCATTAATAAAGCTTTTACTGAGAGCCTCGGTCCTCAGAAAAGCCCATTCTGGTGAAATGACTTGGCAAAGCATCCGATGGAGGGTCTGTTCAGACTGAAGCTGCTCCCGCTCCCATTGTCTAGCTCTCTCTCACACACCTACGAGTCCAGAGTAAGCACACAATTTCATTGTTGCGTGAGCTGTTAATATCAGAGGCTTCACAATAGAGCCCATTCGCCATATTTGCATAAGGCACTTTTCCAACAAGGACCCAGAGAGGGCTTGAAAGCTGGCCCACTCTAGTGCCAATGGCAAAAAAATGTCAAGTGCCAATTAGGAGAGGTTTGCCACCATTCAGCAATACCCCACCCCTGTAGTCCTTCCCCTCCCTGCTTACCCACCCCAACTCTCTCACACTCCAAGTCACCCCTGGTTTTACCACCTTATTCCAATTTCAGACGTGGCCTTCCCCTACTGACACCCAGAGACAAAAGCTGGCTCCCTCCTCTCTGGCTAATGGAGGATCCTTTCTGCTTGGCTCAGAGTATTAGTAAAATCAGACAGCATGGTCCGTTCACCGATTAGTCAGCTTTCTTTGTTGATTACTTTGAATAGGGTTCAAGAACTATGCAAGATACAGAGTCCACCTGCTTGGGAATATTGAACTTAGCAAGCTGGCTGCACTGTGCTACTTTTGTTTTAGACTCCCAGGTTTGCATGTGCAGGTGTGGGTAATTGAGGGAAGGATTGTGGCAGAGACAGACGCTGATTTAAACAATTAACAATTCCCCCTTTCATCTGAAATCCACAGTGGTTGTTCTGTGTTAGTGCTAATGACATTTAGCCACCTAATGGCTTGCTTTAAGCTAGTCGTGCTTATTATTTTGCACGGATGCACATAGAAACATAGAGAAATGCTGCAGAGACACTATTTAAATTTAGAGTGTAGACTTTAAGTCAGCCTTAAAGGCTTAAGGAAAAGTAGATTTGCTACATGAAATCCAAGTTAGCTCAACTGGTGAGCATGTAAAGTACTCAACTACTGTTTATAATTCTATCGATGCTGAAATGCTACATTATTTCCATTATTTCCATGCTTAACTGCAGGTGTCAGATGCAAAGTATGCGGTGGAATGGTGGATTTAAAACATTAACTGTGTTCTTGAATTTTAGGTGATATATTGTTTATGCAGGAAAAGCCTTTAACATCAAAAACCTGGAAAAAAAACCCTTGCATTCTGTAAAAAACAAGGATGCAGTAAATTGAATGAAAAAATTAGGTCATAGACACAATAAAAGAAGGTAATCGTGTTTGCCCAATTGGTCTGGCGTTGTTTTCAGCAGAGCGTTTACCTAACTTACCGCCTCCTGCCACTCAAAAGGATTTTTCTCTTGTCGCTTTTTCTCTTTCTTTCTTTTATTCAATCTCTGTGTCTAGTTTTTTTTTCTTTCCCACCCTTGATTCTCAGATGGTTGGATCTGATTTGCATGCATTTACATAATGAAAGTCATTTGCATGCTCAGGGGCAGACTGTACCATGAGAACAGACATGAAAAGGTGTGTGTGTGTGCGCGCGTGCATTCGTGTGTTTGTATATTTTTGTGAACTGTACATGTGTGCTTTTGTGGATAAGCTACATAGTTTAAATGTTCAATTTTACCCTCTGATTTCTCCATCTATGTTTTCTGTGCAGGCTACCACATTACTGAAGGAAAGCTGGCAAAAGAAGACTGAAAAACAGAGAAGGAGGAGGGGTTGTTGTTGATTCTGCCCTCCCTCTCTCCTCGCCCTCCACTGCATTGCCTCTTCCCTCCTCCTCTTCCCTTCCTCATCCACTCCATCCTCAGCAGACTGCCCCTTTTTCCTGTACAGCGAAACGCAGCCCGCGCCACCATCTTAGAGCAACGCTGGCATGAAATGGAAGTGGGAAGACCAGTCAGTGCAGGTAACACACCAAACCCACTGCGCCCGCCATGCTTCATTTTTCTATTGGCACCTCCCTGACTCTCCATCATATCGCAATATCTCCATCTCTCCGTGCCCTCGCGCCTTCTCCGGCGTGATGTACCCTCCGTTTTAATTGCCTCTGATACGTTTGTTAATTGCACGACTCATGAGATGCGCTGATGGGAAGGAGGGGAGGGTTGATGTGGGTGGAGCGTGTTTTGTATGTGCGTACACATTAAATCACTCCGCTCTCAATGCCTCTCTCAGGAGGCGTTCAGTGGGCATCTGTCCTCGAAGCGCCAATGTTTCTTTCCCGTTTGGGAATTCTGATGCCATCCTCACATGCCTGCCCCGACATGGCGGCGCCTGCCATTTTGGAGCTACGATGCAATCCGTGCCTTCTGGACGACAGACAAGCACAGCTGATTACTCCATAAGTTGAGCAGCTTAGGAAGAAAATTTTAGTCACTGAACCTAAAAAACTGTGATATAATATTTAATGATTTTGACAGTAATCTGTGACAGAGGTATGGCTTTTTAAAATAATTCTAAAAATCTCCCTTCAGCTCTTTAAATGAGGTCAAAAGAAATGTCAAGGTGGGCAACATCGGTTGAGTGGAAGTTATGATTCATAGTCTTTTACAGGGACACTGCAGCACATAAAAAGCCCAAAACAAAGCAGGAGAGAGGCAGACAGAGGCAGAGAGAAAAAATAAAGACAAGATGGTGAAGTTGTAAGAGCATGATAGGCAGAGTTAGTACTGAAAAGTCTCTCTTTAAGTGAGTGGTGAGTATTGGAGGGCAGTCGGTGCTCAGACAAGTTGAGTATTGTTCTCCTTGCATGAGCTCGTTGTGGTGCGGCATTTTTTCAACCGGGGAGCTCCCAACGTTGAAAACCGCTTAAACCAAAACACCAATTAGCGTTAGCTGGGCTTGATTAAGTAAGATGGCTGGTAAACAATGCTTACTTTTGTCATCTTAACACAGAAACCTCCCTTTGTTTGTGCCTGTGGCGTGTGGGTCAGAGAGACTGTGCTAATGGTAACTTATAGTAGGATGCCTGGGGCTAACAGAGAAACTGCCACAACCCACCAAGTCAAGGTAAAAACAGCAAAGGAGACTTGGCAAAGACAGGAAACATCTCAACATCAAATTTTGTTTTCTTTTAAATAATTTGGCCAAAAATGTTCAATTATATATATGTGTTCTTTAAATTAAATCACTAATTTTCTGTATTTAGACAGAATACACTGTTAATGATTCCAGTTCCCCAATTAGGTCAAACTAAGCTTAATTAATTTGAATATTTGACGATGCCGCCTTAAGCGAAGGAGTCGCTTGGCTTTCCTGAGAAGTCTTGTGGTAACTGTGTCAAACGCAAAGTGCACTAATCACTGCCAGGCCTCTATAAACAGGTGGTAGATTGAGCAAAGGGGGCCGAGGCCATTCTCAATTTACTGTGTAAATTATGCAGAGCCCAAAACAATGCAAACAGTAGACAGTGGAGTGGCTGGCGTTGGCTAATGAGATGATGAGAAGCCTGGGAGGCCTGCGAGCTGATAGAGGAGAGGGGGTGGGCACGGCTTGTGTCTGGATCGGTGTATTCATGTGTGCGTCTTTGTGCGAGTGTGTGTGAGGGTCTAGAGGAGCTTTGGCAGGGGAGCAGACACTGTCCCGCCTGCACAAACCCCACCGTCAGCACCCCTCCTGCCCAGACTGAGTGCTACAGGGGGAGGGGAGGGTTAGCAGGCAGCTGGGGCACCCTGCCCCCATTGCTCCTGCAAGAGCACCAGGCTTGGGAACCTCGGTGGCAGGGGTCCCCCCAACACTGGCACGTAGGGGGCCCCCAAAAGTCTGGCTGCAAACCCCCATCTCCACCAATTCCCCCACCCCACCGTCTCTTGTCTCCCCAACCATCTCCACCCCTCCTACCCTAATGTAAGGCTCGGGGCCTGGGAAGGACTTCAAGTTCACGGCCAGACCTCCTATTGAGCTGACAGCCTGACTGTTTGCTCAATTCGGCTCCCTATTCAGGACCATACTGGAGGGGGGTGCTGTTGAAAAAAGGTTGGAGGATGCAGGAGGGTGTTGCTAGACAGTGTGGGACACTGTAGCACTGCGATAGCTATTCATTCAGCAAGGGGAGACAAGTAAAGAGCGGGGGGGAGAGAGTGAAGATGGAGGAGGGGGGTTCAAGTCGGGATGCATAAATAAAAAGTGAGGAATCCAGGCTCAAAGTTTGCTTTGAGCAGTGTGCGCCTCTCTCACACTCTTTTAGACTCTTAATTACCGGCGCCTTCCACTTTTCTCTCTCCCTTTTCTCTAACTACACCCCCCTCCTCATCGCCATCGCACACACCCTCCTGAACACACACACACAAAATGGCAATGGCAATCATTCTCATCATCCTCTCTATCCCCTGGTTTTATTAGGCCACATGCTGGGGCTGTAAATTTACCATTAACAAGCTTATTCACTGTAGTCCTCTCAACAAAACAAGACCATGATGCCAATAACTCAAAGCGACATCAATACCCGAAACTGCCTTTTATGTCGCCAACCTCTACTGTTAGCCACTCCCTGCAGCCCCCACTCTTTCCTCACTGGCAGAGAGCACCTCACACCGTAATGCTAAATGCCAAGGCTAACGTGATGCTTGTTAATAGCTCAGACAATGGTAATTAGCGCAGTGGTTGTTGATTTAAGCTAGATCTAAGCTAGATGGACGCATTATTGGCTAATTCTGAACTTGGTGACCTGCTATAATATTTTAAGTTGCTTGTCTGAGCTGCTCGAAAATGTAACAGAAAAGGGGGTTTGATGGTCTTCTGAAGTCCAACTTAGCCTAGCTTAGGGTGTGTCACATGCTTCCTCTTTGTATTAGCAGCTTGTAGCGTACCAGGCTCCTGTTAAGGCCTTTCAACTTCAGTCTCAATCCCCTTGGCTGGTACACGAAGCTGTACTTAACTCGGCCAGATTTAGGACACACAAGGAAAAAAAACCTAATAAGTATTTTTTTCATGTTTAAAGAGCACTGAGAACAAGCCTTCTTTTGATACATAAATTGGACTTCACAGTCCATTGTCTCAAATAATTGTTTTGACATTCACATGATTGGCCTCAAGGTGTGTTTTGACTCATTCTTTTTTTTATTTTTTATTTTTAGATAAATGTGATTGGTGCAGGGGGATCCAGAATGGACAGAGCACACAAAAGGAGGACGGTGGGACTCCTCCTTCATTCGCTGCCTTTTAGCTGGAGTAAACACGGAGGACGGCGATGCTGTCTGCATGCAAGCCGGCAGTGATTCCTGCCATAACTGTGGAACGCTGTGTATGTCTCCTTGATGCATCGCTCGAACCAACACTCAGCCTGGACTGCTTGTGAATGACTTTTGGTGTTTTAACTGAGCAAACATCATCGTGGACTCCAATCATGGAAACCTGTGGGACTCGTTGGAAAATAAGCAGCCCGAAGGCTGGAGGAACTGCTTGATAATTGTGACTCTTAATTCTTTTATTAGATGTGGCACTGAATTTTGTAATTATTATCCTATATTTGATTGTAAAAAAATATTGTTTAGACATGAAGGAATATAATCTGTCCTCAGCTGTCATAGGCTCCACTTAATGTAGGTTGTATTTGATGATTTGTAGCCCATATTTTGCTCATTTTCTCTTTTGTTATAGTTGCTAGGACTCAAAAGACATGTGAATGTGAGACCCACGGCAGCAGTGAATAATACTGCACTGCGATTGGACAGCTCCGTGTGTCAGCTGACACAATGGCGAAGGAGTGAGCTGTCGTCTTTATACTCTATGCAACTGTTCTCTTTTTTTCCTTTCTTTATTGTTTAGGGGAAAAAAACCTTTTCATATTTATTTTGGATTATTTTTTGAGCCATCAGTTTACAGAAATTCCTTCAGACATCATCAAGAGAAATGGTTTATGAGGTGCTGACGTTCCAGTTATTAATATAGTGAAACAGAAATTACAGTCAGGATGTGTGTGTGAGTGTGTGACAGATGACAGGATACAGCAGTTTCATCAGTGGATGGATTGAATCTCATATTTGCAGCTTTCGACTGTGCAGCCATGAGCCAGAGTCTGAGTAAATGTGGACTCAAGCATTTAATATTCCTGATGGTTGGAGTGTGTTTGATCAGCAGGAAGTAGCTCTGCGTGTATACAGAACATGCCACACTATTAAAAGCTGCTCCCTATAGCAGTCGTTGAGGCACAGCAGTTTGGCACATAATAGTTACCTGCTTTAGTGTAATGATACATCTTTGGGTGAGACATGACAAATACATTGGCTTCAAACACTGCCTTAATTTCCTGTTCTTGACATTAACACACAGCGACACACACGCCCGCACACACACATGCACCCAAATGCAATAAGGCAAGTACTATCAGGGCCTAATTCATTCTATATTAATTTTCGGGAAGTGGCAAATTTTTTATTACGATTGATAATCTATGCAAATCTTTTAAATATTACTTTAGACAATCTATGTCTATGCAGCGCTTTTGCAATTGATTCAAGGGAGACTATCTTGGCCTAATTTAGAAAATGTATTCTTTTGATAATCATGCACATCCCAGTGCTCAAGACAATTACTTATCTGCCTGGATAAGCTTGAAATTATGTTTTTAATCTCTAGCAAAAAAAAGTCACTCTTCTGAAATCAGTCCAGAGGCTTGAAAACCATGAATTGTGGTCTAAAATAATTAAATCAGTTGCACTAAATCTCCCTTTTCCTTAAATGTAGATCAAATATATCTATTTAGCTTTGAATAGCATACTGTTTATATAAGCAACAATGTTTGTATTATGCAATCTCATCTTTGTGAATGAGTGTTCACCACACGTGCCTTTGTATGGAAAGCTGTTGAAATAGTAATAAAGGTTTACAATGAAAACAATGAAACATGTCTTGTGCATGCTTTTGATCAGTTTTGGTTGCATATCGCTGGCTGGCAGGATCGTCTAGTGATAAATGGAAAAGTACATTAATCAGCTGCATATAGTGCTGAAGTGTCCTTGAGCCGTGGCTGAGCCTGGTCAGCAGTGATGTAATTCACTGAAAGAAAGAAATATAAATGTAAATAACTGTCCTTAAAATGAGAGACAGAATAGGTTACAGTTTTCTAAAATTAAAAATGGAAAAATCTATAAAAACAAACAAAACCTAAATGTGCTTTTCCTTAATGATTTTGGTGCTTTAGTCACATCTACAGAGAAATCTACCGCAGTTCAGTTTCAGCACATCGTCACTGCCAAATGAAAAGATTATAACAATTCCCCCGAGATCAAACAATTTTCTAAACACCATCAGGGATGTGGGTGTTCATACGCAACCTACACTGGAGAGAAACAGAACAGTTCTGTCCTCTTTTGGTGTAAAATTAATCAGGACAAAGGCGCTCTCTCTAGTAACCAATAAAAATCTTAACCTTGGTGTTTGTTGTGAATGAATGAATGATGATGAATAATAAGCCAGCCACATGTCATTTAACCTGCTGTTATTCCAAGTTTGGGGAAAACAAAGAACCCATAGCACCCTCACCCTGGTTTGTGATAATCTGTGTGCAGCGCTGTCGCTTTGCGAGCTGCTGTGTGCTGCACAAAACACTTCCCCTGCGTGATTTGCTGTCTGACACCACATATGGCGAATGCGCCAACACCGACATATGGGCCCCTCACAATTCATTAGCATTGTCATGTAAAAAAGGGTAATCCCACTGTAAAACAAATGAAATGTAACCCTTTACAGTACAGGTTGATTTGGCAGCTCTTTTCATTCATTCCCTCTCTTTTATGAAGTCTCATGTAATTCAATGAAAGAGGTTTTTAACGCAGCTTCGATGCACCCCCATGGGTGTCTGCATTCTCGGTTTGTAGCAGCCGAGGCTTTACGAGCTACTCTCCTCTTGTTTACAGCTGCGCTGCACGTTCAAATGAGCCATAGTACACATAAACAGCAGCTCCATGCAAATATTACAATGCCCTTATTAACCAGGGCAGGCGGCAATTACATTATGTCCCAGGCGTTAACATCCAAAGAGCTAGCATGGTCCTCTGTGACAACTCCACTCGCCCTCTGTGTTTCTTGGCTGTGTTATGGCCCTCATAATCTGATTCACAGTTTTTGTCATTCTGCCAAGAGGCAAGCTGCATTAGCCAAGCACTATAGGCTTTAATGAACTGAGTGTCAATGTTAAGCATACTAGAGCAAGCCGGAGTGACGGCGTACAACCGGGCTGTCGTTTGCAGCCATGTTGGATCACAGTCAAAGTTCTAGCTGCTCAGAATTAAAGGTTTGTCGGGCCGCTGAGTAAAAAACGAAAAAGTTGACCCCGCATTTTGCTTTGTGCAGTTGGCATCCTAAATGACAGTAAGTCTTGTGTTTAGGGAGCTGTGTTTATAGCGATGGGGTGTGGCTTCCTTTTGACATATAGCACAAAATGGCTGCTCGCAACGGCCAATCATGAGACTGAAGAAATTGATTCCAAGATGGCGTCTCAATGACATTAACATGACTTGGAGCAGATTTAAAGAAAAACTGCAAAGGGGTCCGCAGAACAATTTGATTGACGAGAACACAAGGAGCCTGGTGACAAGAGGGGGTCCAAAAGTGGGAAATGGCGGGGTTTGGTGCACGTCCAAGGTCTTGGAACTGGTGTGATGCTTTGTGATGAACTTTCACAAGTTGCTCAGAATTGCATTGGTATGCAGGAATGCAACCCTAGGAGGCCATTCTGTGTGATTTTGGGGGGAAAACATGTTTGCAACTGGTTGCAAGGACAGAGGATGTGTGTGTCTTTGGATGCTGTCATAGCTGAAGCCAGAAAAAGTGGGCGTCCGTCCAGATCTGTCCACCTTTGTGAGCTGCTTCGCAGTGTGGCAGCTGGTCATTCTGTTCATAGAGCAAAGACAAAATGATATCAGAAGCTGAAAAAGGATATGTTGTCGAGTGTGATGTTTCATTTATAATAAATAAAGAATAAAGACGCGGACGTGTGTGTGTGTGAGCAGAGAGTTGGTCTCTTCGGTGTGGAGATTATTGAAGGATTTCTTGATAAGCAATCTGACGAGTGGCAGCTAGAGGATCAAATTTTAGCGCCTTGCACACACACGCGCACACACACACATGCACACACGCACACACACACACACACACAGTGTTCGCATGGGTAAAAAGTGGCTTATGCCATTCAGATAAAATTTAAAATGTTATTAAACACGATTGTTCCACTTTGATTATCAGATGATTTATTTTTGCTATAAATACAATACCATCATGAAGCTGAAAGGGCAGACGGAATGGACAGCGGGTCTGCAAGTCAGACTGGAACGAGTATTTCTTCATTTGAAAAATAGTCTGAATAACTGCTTTTCTAAATAGAGAACATATGATTGGAAAACCATGTATCACGATGTTCCTCTTGTGTGCTTGGCAATGCTTTTGTTCCTAGTAGTGAAGAAATCTGGAAATCTGACAACTAGGGGGTTCGAGCTGCCAAATAAGGAGACTCATGGGAACTCCAGTAACACTGACTTGATGATTTTCCCTTTTCTGGAAAAGCATCTTTCATGCTTCTGCTCCTATACATTTCAAAAGGGAAACGATGTATCACTTTCGAGCTGAAAATCTTGATACTGCTTACTTTGAATATTATGATGCAACATAAAAAAACATGCAAACATTTGATGATTTGTAACAGCATACAAAAATAGTTAAACCACCATAAGGTGCTATGAATGAGCATAATTAACAAATAAGTACTGCTGCATTAAATGCTGTATAATTTATCGATTATGCTCCATTCTGAATGTTTCTACTTTAAATATTTTTAGTATCATTTGCTAATACACTGTAAAATCTGATTAGTTCCCAGAACTTGAAAAAATTACACAAACCTGTTGCCTCAAAAACACTAAGTAAAGTTTACTTAAGTTAAACAAGTTAGGGTAGTACTATTTAGCAAACCTAAGCAAAACAGTGAATACTGGACTTTCACTAGTAATGTTGAAATCATATTTAAATGACTGGATGTTAGCTATGTTGTTGCACTTCACAAAATAACCTTCATTTTTTTGAAGCTGAGATTACATAGCACACACTCTTATAAAACGTTCACATTTAACCCAAACTCCTGTTTAAACTTAGACATCCCCCATTACTCTTCACGTTTCACTGACATGAAAAATTGTGACATCATGTTTGACTGCATAAGAGAAGGGAGGTAAATGACACCAGTATAGACGGGTTTTTGTATTTCTCAGGATGGCAACTCAGTACCATAATCTAGCTTGCAGCTTGACATCCCTGCATTTTTCAGTTTGGCTAATGGAGTTTGGAAAGGTAATAGAATTGTGTGCAGTAAACGAGGACCTTCAGTGTTTCAGCCTAACTTAAAAGTTAAAAAAAAGTGAGAGTGACAAGGTTTTTACCTTTGCAGGATGACATTTCAAATTGAAGTTTTGTCATCTGCACAGGTAGCAGTTAAAACATTAAGCTTAAAATCCTCTCACACCCCAAAGCCATCACTTGGAGCTTATTTATGTATAAAATGAAGGAGAAATACTCAAGCAGGAGAGGCTAGTAAAACTTGCAGCTTAGGCCTGATGAGTTAGACGTCCGGATCACTGAGGATGCTTTTTCTTGAAGGCGAGCGAGCCCTGTTGTGGAATGTCAAGTAGTTTGGCCGGGGCGGGTGACTGAAGCGGGAAGTGATTTGACTAATGTTTTTCCTTTCATAGGGCTGCTCTCCACCACGTCCCCCTCTGTCCTCCCCAACCGCCAAAAACCTCCCCAGAAAACTTTACGGTGATGTCATTCATATGCAAAACAGGCATGCTTTTAGCTAGTGAATGTGTGTGCATGCGTCTGTGAGCAAGTGTGTGTGTGTATTGCTTGAGTGGCTGATTCCATTACTTGAAGGACCATTACACTTGCCTGTCAAAAGCCAAAAGACCTGAGAAAAATTAGCAGATTAAATCACTCTGCTCCTCTCCTCCTCTCCTTCCGTCTTCTTGCCCCCGCTAGCATCCGAGTTGTTGTTCATACCATGGAGGTGTTTTGACAAAATCAAAAATGCAGTGCAACTCCTTTGAAAGCTGCTTCATTTTTGATCAGTGACAGGTCCTAATTTTGGAGACAAATCTCTTAAAAATGACAAAAAATGAAAACAATGATAATGGTGCAAGACACAATCAGAGCAGAGCTCCTGGGAACGTGAGTAGCTTGGAGGCAAAATCCTATAAACAGGGGCAACTAGGGAGACGGAAGCTAAATGTGGTTTTATAGTCTTGTAAAAATTAAACGACACGTTTGGGGATCCGGTACACATTTATTGAAGCAGTTGGGTGAAAGTTAAAATGCTGGTCAGGGTTCAGAAGATTAAAGATTGGAGAATTCCTGAAAATCATCAGTTCTTTGATGGCTTTAATCACAAATCTTGCTCATAATGCTGTAACAGACTTCAGCTTTTATACCTACAGTAGTTATCCTTTGCCCTGTGATAGGACAAATCCTGCAGTGCTTCTCTCCTTAAAAACAAAAGAATAAATCCCAGATCCAGAATGTGGGAATGAACTCCCCCCCCCCGGGGTCAGATTAGCATTCTGGGAAAACAAAATTCCCTACTGGAGTGTGGGGAGTTTGCACAGAGCAGATGGGTACACACAAAATCAGAAATACAGGGGGAAGTGGTTACAGAAGAAGACGAAGAGGAAGAAGAGGCTTGGCCCCCGGGGAAGATGGAGGACAGAGCGTTGGGTGGGGAGGAGTTGGTTGTGAGAGAGAGGCGCGAAGAGTTAATGCCGACAGCTCAACAAAGGCCACCACCACCGCTGAGGGCAGAGAGGAGCACGGGAAAAGAGCTAAGGTCAAGGGGACCTCGGGGGGGTGGGGTTCAAGTTCAA